ATACACGAGAATTTCTCTGTTATAAGTTTGTGTGCCAAAAACCAAAAAGAACACAATTTTACTCCAATATTTAGCAGACGTTGGCGGTGAAATGGCTACGTAGAAAGTGTCAAAACAACCTTAGGTAAATAGCCCGTGATGTCTACTTTATATAAATATATACTTTTGTGTGGCAATTTGTTTTCTTTTATGGCTATTAAGCTTACAAGACAAACATACCAAATTCTAAAATCGCTCCACATTAAAAGTTTATTTTACTCCTTGTGCTTTGTGACCTGTAACTACAAAAAAAAACTTAAAATCCCAGACACATTATATATTCTGTAAATCAGAACAAATAAATAAATTTATTTTTAATTACTTTCCTTAACCTGCACTAATTATGCACACATTATTATTGCAAAAACTGTAAAAAAATACAATATTTTTCATTTTTTTTGCATTTTTCTGTATTTTTTTTATAATAAGTAAGCATTTTTATATATATATGTTATATCAAATTAAAGCCCTTTCTGTCCTTTAAAAAACAGTATATAATATGTGTCGGTGCAATAAATGAGAGAGATGCAAATTGCAGTTGAACGCAAACAGCAAGAAAATGCAAAAATTGCTTGTGTCATTAAGCGTAAGTCAAGCTTCTGAAGCTGTGTCCTTAAGGGGTTAAGGACTGAGGCAGTTGTACAAGTTGTGGTAAAAACAAAACATAAACAAAACTTTGAATTTGCGCTATATGTCTGTTCAACCAGAATTTACCTCTTTCACATTAAATGCACACACACTTCTCAAATATTTATATAAAGAAAAATTATTTAATATTAATAAAATATAAAAAGTAGTGATGTCCCGAACTGTTACTTGTAGAACTGTTATAAACCATACGGTTAAACCCGCAAGCAGGTTAGCGCCCAGCAGTTAATCCTTATTTCAACCAATCAACCCCAGCAGACCCTCCCTCCCAGACCCTCCCACCTCCTGGACAGCATCCATTTTGAAGCTGCATTCTTAGTGAGCTGTCCAGGAGGTGGGAGGGTCTGGGAGGGAGGGTCTGCTGCTGAGTGGCTGGAATGTGTCATCTGACTGGAGTCTGCACGAACCGTTCATGGCGAACTGTGGCGAACAGTTCGCGAACAGTTCGGCAAACAGTTTGGGACATCACTAATAAAAAGATGTGAGAAATTAAGACATTTTGTTATTGTTTTTAGTTCTGCATGGAATTTTAACTGTGAACAGCATAATACTGTTAACTGTTTCTTAAATAAAATACACATATTTGTATTCAGTGATGTCTCACGAATAAAACAGTACCCCAAATGTACAGCTTTTATGGTGTTTTGGAGAGTTACAGGGTCAAATAGAGCATGTAAAATTTTTCAGTTTATACATATTGAAATTTGCCAGATTGGTTATGTTGCCTTTAAGACCAAATGGTAACCCAGGAATGAGAATTACCCCCATGAATTACCATTTGCAAAGTAGACAACACAAAGTATTAAAAATGGGGTATGTCCAGTCTCTTTTAGGGTCCAATAGGTATTTTCCTTTTCTCTGCATTATGCTTTTCGGTTAGTGGTCCCGCAAGGCCAACACCCCGCCTCACATACGGAGGCATACACCCATCGGGCCACTCGTGAGCTAGTCGCCTCGCATAGTAACATAGAGAGGGCCTCACTTGTCACTCCCTTACCTATTTTCTGGTTACAGTCACCGAGAGGCCGACATCCCGCCACTATGTTTGGTGGCCATAAAAAATCCCCTTGAGCCAACGTATAGATAGAGCCTCTCAAGCCACTTGGCAATTAGCTGGGCCTCACCAGTAACCAAAAGCAAGCAATAATTGTTTTGCCTTATGGCTTTAGTTAGCAAGCCATTACAAGACCCATGTTGTTCAAATAATAATAGCTATCTTCATGTTATTTAAGTATGTCTCAATAAGGTGGAGAGGAATTATCTCTACCTAGCACTCTGGCTAGATTCGACACACCTTCATGTAGAGGAGATGTCGCTAGTCCAGCATCAATTAGATCCTAGACAATCCCACGCATTACCACCGAGCTAAGGAGGCGACAAATCTCCTCCCAGCCACAGCAAGGAAAGCAGAACTATTTAAGCTTCTCCGCACATCAACGGATAACAAAGAGGCGGGGGAAGGCACCAGCAACACCAGTTCGGGTGACATTCATGCTATGCTAGCATCACTCATGAATTCCATGAGCAAAGTAAATGACAGATTGGAAAATCTTGAGTAGGTCTTCTCAGCCAAAGTGTCTGCACTCTCTCCCAATTCGGTAACAGAACCAACTGGAGCAAGCTGGATGCAGAGATATTCTGCAGACACTTTGCAGGTCTTAAGACACCAGCTTGTGCATCCTGCTCTTCTACTACCCACACGACCAATTTTTGTCCAAACACAGCGGACGATCACTCTCATGCTTCAAGCACTAGCACCTCTGGTAGAACAGAGAAAACTACCAGGGACAAATTGGGTCGTCCCATAATTTGTTCTGGTAAATCACAGATTTGCAACAACTTTAACGTGGTCACGTGTAGTTACAGTGCATGCAGACTGTTGCATATATGTTCAAAATGTTTCAGGGCACATGCAATAAAATGTACCCAAAACCGAACTTAACGTCTGTAAACATTAATGCTTTTTCAGCACTACTGACTCATCACCCTTCCAGACATTTAGTAGATTTCCTAATCTCTGGATTTTCAGAGGGTTTCCATACAGGTATAGAAATGCCCTAACTTGCAGTCAGCACAGCAGAACTCAACGGCTGTAGACACACTCATAGCCCAAGAACCTGCAGAGGGGTTTCTACTTGGGCCTTTCAAATCACCACCACTTACAGCATGGCACACAAACCACATTGGGATTGTCACAGGGAAATCTTCCCTCAAACAAAGACTAATCATAGACTTATCGGCACCACATACCTCTGCTACACCAAGTCTCAACTCCCTTATACCCTCCGAGGAGTTTTCCATACAATACGCCACCATTGATCATGCCATCACAGCTATCACTCAAGCAGGGGTGGGAGCTTGGTTAAATAAGACTGATATCATCAATGCTTTCAAACTGCTACCAATCCACCCTACACTCTGGCACTTACATGGCATTAAATAGGCAGACAATTACTATTTCTTCTCCCGCTTAACTTTTTGGTCAAAGAGTAGCCCCAAAATCTTTGATATATTCGCTGAAACTCTTTGCTGGCTGTTATTAAACATATCCAGATGCCCCACAGTCATACATTATCTGGCAAATATACCTGAAAGGAAATTTAACTTTAAGACTTAAGTAAATATATTGCGGCGTTTATAGTATCAGTGTAACAGTTTTTTAGGCTTTTAATATAGTTAGTATTTTTTTACAGTAGATGGAGATAATGGTGCACCTGTGCGTTAAGGGATTGTAACGTTGTTATCAGCCGAACGTAATTTCTGATTATTTAACCATGTGAGAGCAGCCATATGAGGTATTTTCTATGCGAATTGCTGCATATATGTGTAGTGCAGATTGGGTTTGTGTGACCGTGGGCTAGTTCTATCGGTTTGTGAGTAAATTTATGAGAGTGTGATTTAAGTATGGCTATGCCTACTTGCGTTCATGCGGATGCATAAAACCTTGAACGGTGGTTCAGGATGGTGCCCCGGAAGCTATATGGCTTTGTGTGCTGGGAGCTACCGTGTTCAGATGGTCGTGGCTGGCTTCTCTGATCCGTGGAGTATGGGCCTGCTGGATAGTCTCTACGGTATGCTTGTTGTAGATGGGCCTAGGAGTGCCACACAAGAGGAATTTTCACTGGCGATGCTGGGACCAGAAGTGGTTGAAGCTGTCATCGGTATTCTGCAGAACGAGCCTGCTGGATTGCCTGGGAAGTATCCTGGCTGGAACTGGACCTGGAAAACCAGGAGGGGACCTTCGGGTGGCACCGGAACCAGAAGTCCAAGTGACCCATCAACGTCAGCCTGGTATGGAGGTATGTTTGGGCTTATATAGGCCAGATCAAACCCCTACCACAACTCCAGGCTCCACCTTCCCATATATATATATATCTATATATATATATATATATAGATATATATATATATGCACTTTATATATTTTTATCTCAGTTTACTGCATACTATGCTCACAAAGAGCCTCCATTTTATTAAATTTAGCCACACTATCTAAACATACTACACTAGATAGATCTAGCTTTATGTTTTTTATCTTTTACACATCCCGGATTATTGATTGGAAGCAAGGGATATAAAAACAATCCATAAGAGGGGATTGCACCGCTTGTGCATAGAAGTGGAACTCTTGATAGCTCCAAATGTTTGTAATTGCATTTTTTTATTACCTGTATACTCTTGCGCCCCGTTTTTTTGCTCTCCGCAAGTTTAAAGGGTAATCCAGACAAGGACCCCTTGCTCACGGTGCCTAGAGAGATATGCCTCACTGATGATGCCTAACAAGGCTGAAATGATCGTCTGAGGTTGCTGTGTCTCTCGTGCAGAGGGAACTTGCTGGCATTTCGGATCTGGACTGCCCGTATGGGTGGGACCAGTCTGATATGTTTCAGAGATGTTCTTTCTGTAATGGCACAAGATGAGCTAAAACCAGCTTGAGATCTTAGCGGGGACCCACCGAAGGGCAGGCTATTTCAGCTGCTGCCCGTTCTCAGTATACTCTTGTGCCCCGTTTTTTTTGCTCTCCATTTTTTTATTCTATTCACTCTCCCACTGTGTGAATGCTACGCTACATACTACTCTATCTCTCCTTTCCTGTTAAATATTGTGAGAAACTCACCATTTCCCCTGGGTTAAGTTTTAGTCTATTATGTTTCCCGATCCCCATACACGTTTTCCCAGTTCGGAAGCTGAAATCTATTAACACCGACCACCCACTGGCTCATTAACTTCATACAAACCACAAACTTAAGTGCTCTCCATGCTGGAGAAAATGGCAGCCATCTTGTAGCATGAACGCAATCAGCAGCACTTGGTCAACGAGTGCAAGGATACATTCTCGTACGAACCTCGGTGATCTTGCATTGACGCCTGCTTCTTTTCTGGACAAGACAGGAGAGCACTGTTCGGTAGGATTGTTCGCACGAACTAGGAGCCAGAGGAACCATTTGATATTTCATTCATTTCTGAAAGACCGACCACAACCACTATTACTCTGGAACTAATCTGGGCAGACGCCACGTGTGCAATAGTCAAAACTTTAACCTGGTGGCAAATTAGCTGTGTTCGAGGGATCTGAGTGCTATTTGGAAATGATGGGTGCTCAGATCCAGGCTATCCGGCGAAATAATGCTTGTAGGGTTCAGATATGTTATGTGTATTTTAATGATTTGTGTTACACAGGTAACTATATGTGTGTCACTGTTTTGTATCTATATGTGTCTGTGTATTTGAATGTTTGTCCTTAAGTGTTTGTGTATCTGTCTGTATGTGTGTCTGTGTATCCGCATGTGTGTCAGTGTATGTCTGTGTATCTGTATATATTCTAGTGTTTGTATTTACAGGAGTGTCATTATGTGCATCTCAAAGTGTGTCATTGTGTGTGTCTGTATCTTCATGTATGTCTGTGTGTATATATGTGCCTGCATATCTGCATGTTAGTTTTTGTGTCTGCTTTTGCATGTGTGTCAGTGTGAGTATGTGTATCTGCATGTGTGTCCATGTATGTATCTGCATGTATTATATGGTGTGTATTTGCATGATTGTCAGTGTGTGTTTGTATATCTGTATGTGTGCCAGTGTAACTGTCACCCCACCACTCACAATAACTCCCCCAATTTCACTCACCCATGCTATACTCACCTCCCATTGCTCTGCCATATTCACCCCATTACACTCCCCTTCTCTTGCACTGTCATACTTACCCCCCAATCCTGTCACTCGCCCATGCTATACTCACACCCATCATTCTGCCATGTTCATCCTATTACACTCACTCTTCTCTAACACTGTCACATGCTCTTTCTCCATCACTCTGCCATACTTGCCCCATTTCACCCTGCCACACTCACCCTATCTCATTAACAGCTCCAGTTC